AACCGCTGTATCAAGGAAGAGTTGCAAGGGAAAACTAGGGTGCTGGTCACAAATCAGCTACATTTTCTTCCTCAAGTGGATCAAATTATTCTAGTCTGTGATGGTACTATTAAAGAGGTGGGAACCTTTAAGGAGCTGTCTAAAAGCAGTATGGTGTTCCAGAAACTAATGGAAAATGCAGGGAAAATGGAAGAAAAAGAAGATAGCAAAAATGATTACCATGAAAGCTCAACACCTGCTTCCAATGGGGTGTTGAATGACTTGCCAAACGACGTAAGCCACGCAAAGAAAGGGAAAGGAGCAAAATCTGTACTCATTAAACAAGAGGAACGGGAAACAGGTGTTGTCAGTTGGAATATTTTACTGAGGTAATAAACTACGTTATTCTTTAAAGATTCACGCTTCAAATAAGTCTTGAATTCTTTTAATTCTCTTTTTGACAATACATATTTCCAGGTCCATAATGAATAGATGCATTTGTATTGATTCTTTTTGTTCTTTTTGGCAGGTACAAAAATGCATTAGGAGGCCTATGGGTGGTCATGGTTCTATTTGCTTGTTATACATTAACAGAAGTTCTTCGAGTTTCTAGTAGCACATGGCTAAGTGTTTGGACAGCTAAAAGCACCTCAAAGAGTTATAAACCTGGATTCTACATTCTTGTATATGGGATTCTGTCATTTGGCCAGGTGTGTCAAGAGTTGCCTCATAATTCTCCATTTCCACTTGTTCTTGATTTTGAAGACATTTATCCACATTTTCTTGATTCAGGTAATTGTGACACTGACCAACTCTTTTTGGTTAATCACTTCAAGTCTTCGGGCAGCCAGAAGATTGCATGATGCCCTGCTAAATGCTATACTAATAGCTCCAATGGCATTCTTCCACACTACTCCAACTGGACGGATAATCAATAGGTTTGCGAAAGATCTGGGCGATATAGATCGCATGGTAGCAAATGTTATGAACATGTTTCTGGGTCAAGTCTGGCAGCTCCTTTCAACTTTTGTGCTCATAGGCATTGTGAGCACAATATCCCTCTGGGCCATAATGCCACTTCTAATTTTGTTTTATGCAGCCTACCTCTTTTATCAGGTACGTTTGGGTGCAGACAATTTTCCTGTTGTGTATTTTTCCTGATATATTATTAGGCATAAAGATCTTATTTATTGTAAGCGTTTTACAGAGCACGTCCCGTGAAGTGAAGCGCTTGGATTCGATTACCAGGTCTCCTGTTTATGCACAATTTGGAGAAGCATTAAATGGTTTATCATCCATTCGTGCATACAAAGCATATGATCGGATGGCCAGCATCAGTGGGAGGTCCATGGATAATAATATCAGATTCACCCTTGTGAATATCAGTTCAAATCGCTGGCTCACTATAAGGTTAGAAACACTGGGAGGCGTGATGATTTGGTTGATAGCAACCTTTGCTGTCATGCAGAATGCAAGAGCAGAAGACCGAGTAGCATTTGCATCCACAATGGGTCTACTTCTCACTTATACTTTAAATATCACAAATTTGTTGAGTAATGTTCTTAGACAAGCAAGCAGGGCTGAAAACAGTTTGAATGCTGTTGAGCGTGTTGGTTCATATATAGAGCTGCCTTCTGAAGCTCCAGCTGTAATTGAAAGCAACCGTCCCCGACATGGGTGGCCATCAGCAGGATCGATCGGGTTTGAGGACGTTGTCCTGCGCTATAGGCCGGGACTTCCACCAGTACTGCATGGATTATCTTTTACAGTTTCTGCAAGTGAGAAGCTGGGAATCGTAGGAAGAACTGGTGCAGGGAAATCTAGCATGATTAATGCATTGTTTAGGATAGTAGAAATAGAAAAAGGAAGAATCTTGATAGACAGTTGTGATGTTTCTAAGTTTGGACTGACAGATTTGCGAAAAGTTCTTAGTATCATACCCCAGTCACCTGTTCTTTTTTCAGGTATGCACTTATTCAACCTATATGTATATTTTATGAATCTTTCTAACTATGGCATGCGTCATTCTAATTATTCTGTCTTGTCTAGGAACGGTGCGGTTTAATCTTGATCCTTTCAATGAGCATAATGATGCTGACCTTTGGGAAGCTCTAGAGAGGGCACATCTGAAGGATGTCATTAGGAGGAATTCTTTGGGTCTGGATGCTGAGGTATAAGTATCTGTCAAGTTGGAGCTGTTTAAATTAAGAAATTGTAACAAATTGCTTTTAGCTCATTTCCTTGACAACTTTCTCATTAAGTTACGCTTTGTCTTTATTGCATCAAGGTTTCTGAGGGAGGGGAGAACTTTAGTGTTGGACAGAGGCAACTAATAAGTCTTGCTAGAGCACTGCTGCGGAGATCAAAGATTCTTGTTCTTGATGAAGCAACTGCAGCTGTTGACGTTCGAACCGATGCTCTTATCCAGAAAACCATCCGTGAAGAATTCAAGTCATGCACCATGCTCATTATTGCTCACAGATTAAATACCATTATTGACTGTGATCAAATCCTTGTTCTCGATGCTGGTCAGGTATGCCCTCATTTTAATGCAAGGAGGAATTTTGTATGAGTCTCACGTACATTTTGGGAGAGGAAGGTTGTATATAACGGGATCATACAACAATTTTTACCTCTGATTTCAAGCCAAAAACTATCAACTCATAACTTTCAACCTCTCAATTTTTTAGGTCCTAGAACATGATTCCCCAGAAAAGCTACTATCGAATGAAGAGAGTGCCTTCTCCAAGATGGTCAAGAGTACAGGACCTGCTAATGCTCAGTATTTGTGTGGCCTGGTATTTGGAGGTAAACAGAATAAGGTCGTTAGGGACCGAACTGAGCCAGTGGTTGGCCAGAGCCATAGGAGTTGGTTGGCCTCTTCTCGCTGGGCTGCGGCTGCCCAATTTGCCTTAGCTGCTAGTCTCACTGCTTCACAGAAGGATCTTCAAAGATCTGATATTGAAGACAAGAACAATATCCTCATGAAAACAAAGGATGCAGTTAGAACACTGCAGGGAGTTTTGGAAGGGAAGCATGATAAAGAGATAGACAACACACTGAATCAACACCATATACCAAGACAAGGGTGGTGGTCAGCTTTCTTCAGAATAGTTGAAGGTAAACTAATTTCAGGGAAAGAAAACAGCAAACTTCAAATTTCACTCATCCTTTTGTCTATTTTTCTTATCAAATATGGTTTTTTAAATTTCAGGTATGGCTGTGATGGGCAGGCTTGCTCACAACAGGCTTCACCCATTAGAAGATGATTTTGAAGACAAGGCCATAGATTGGAGTTGAATACGAAACAAGAGAACAAGAACTGTTTGATACTTGGAATTTCCTCTCACTGAAGGGGAGAGGAATTAACTGTATAGGTGTTTGTCCAAATTGCAACACAATTATCATCTCTGCTTATAGCTGCAATTCACACAAGTCATGATTATCAACGTTAATCTTATATTTTTGAAAGAAAAAATAAGTCATTTCTTTGGTGCCAAGCTATAGAATGAATCATTGTTGAGTTTCTCTTTTCTTTTCACTTGCAATGAGATTCCAGTCTACCCACTATTAATAGGCGTAAGAAACAACTTAAATAATGATCAAAGGGATATAATTCGAGAAGGTTATACATAAAGAAGGAAATACATACATATATATATATATTTAAAGAGTATAGCCGTGGCTATACTGTCTAAATATATCCGAATATTCAAATAGTATCGCCGGGCGGCTATACCGTGTAAATATTTTCGAATATTTAAATCGTCCAGCCGAGCGGCTATACCGCGTGAATATTTTCGAGTATTTAAATAGTATAGCCGCGCGGCCGTACTTTTAAAATATATTCGAATATTCAAAACGTATAGCCGGTCGGCTATACTGTCTAAATATTTTCGAATATTTAAATAGTTTAGCCATTCGGCTATACTGTGTAAATATTTTGAAATATTTAAATCGTATGGCCGGCTGGTTATATCCTGTATATGTTTTCGAATATTTAAATAGTATAGCCGCCCGGCTGTACCCTTTAAATATATTTGAATCTTAAAATAGTATAGCCGACCGGCTATACTGTGTAAATATTGTCGGGCTATACTGTGTAAATATTTTATAGGATAGCCGTTAGGCTAGTCTCTGAAAATATTTTCGAATATTTAAAAATTATAGCCGTGCGGCGATACGCTGAAAATGTTTTCGAATATTTCAATAGTATAGCTGTTCGGCTCTACGCTGTAATGTTTTCGAATATTTAAATAGTCTAGCCGCCCGGCTATACTCTGCCAATATTTTCAAATATTTAAATCGTATAGCCGCTCGGCTAACCTCTGTAAATATTTTCGAATATTTAAACTGTATAGCCGCCCGGCTATACGCTCTAAATTTTTATATTTTTTCTAATATACCTGTTTTATTAATATTTGTAATTAAGAAATATCTTAACCTTATTTAATTACTTTAATTAGCAATTATATTTCAATTATTATTTATTTAGTGAATAATTAGTATTAAAATATTTTAATTAATTTCATAAATTACGCAATAAATAGTAATTAATTATTTTATATTATTTTGTGAACTGTTTTAAAAAAAAATTCATACAGATTAGTTGGAGTTTCCTCTCAATGAAGGGGAGTGGAATTAATTGTATAGGTGTTTGTCCAAATTGCAACATAATTATCATCTCCGCTTATAGCTGCAACTCGCACAAGTCATGATTATCAACGTTAATCTTATATTTTTGAAAGAAAAAAAAGTCATTTCTTTGGTGCCAAGCTATCGAATGAATCATTGTTGAGTTAGGATTTTGGTTCATTACTATGTTAGGATTTTAGTTACTTACCTATTTGTCTAGCCCAATTATAATTAAGATTTATTTCCTATTGTAATTTAGATATATTTTCTATTGTAATTTAGATTTATTTCCTATTTTATTTAGGATTGTACTTATATAAATACCTCCATATTGGAGAAGAATAAAAATATGAGCATATATGAATATTTGCCCTACTTTGTTTGACAACGGCATCTTTGAAAAGCAATTAAGATCTGCCAATCTAACAAAATCTTCAGCATTCTAATGTTAACATCTTCAACTTCCCTGATAACCCAGGAAGAGTCATATTTCATCTCCATATTTTCAAGGCAACAGCGTTAATTCTATGAGGTTGACAATGTACCATCAGAATCATCAGCTGGTTTAATGAGGCCACAAACAGCCTCAATGGCTTCAACATAGAGACTAGAAAATGTCATTAACGCTTGGAATACATTGGGAAGGCTTCTTTTTAGGTTTTCTAGAGTCATGGACTTGCTAACCCGGACTGAGTTAAGAAATTTGGCCTTCTCACTGTCCACTTCCTTTTTTAAGTCTTCAGTTTTGTCTCGCTTAAGTGACAAAGGATGCTTAGGGCCTAAACTGGAGTACTCATCTCCCTCGGTGACGCTCCCCTCCATCTTTTTCTCCATCTCAGCCAATGAATATAACTCCTTTTGCAGCCTTTTCTCAAGTTTTTCATACTTTTTCTGCACATTGTGCTCCTCTACTTGCTGCACGCGAATTGAGCAGATCGCTAATTGAAGGCTCTTAATGGCTTCTGCTGCCCCCTGTAAGCACAACAAAGCATTAAAAAAATATGTGTATCAAACCACATGAATCCAGTCAACATAAAATGGTTGACTCCCAGCAATGAAATTCCATGACCAAACAAGTGATGTGAATGCGATGGCAGCATATGAAATTATACATTCTGCTTTTGGTGACATCTATAGAGTAGCTCATAGATTAGAGCGTGAAGAATTTTCCTTTTAGGAATATTAATTGTCAGGAAAATCAGTGAGAGCCAACAGAAAGTTATACCAGAAATACCTTATGTTGTAATCGTTCAAAGGCAAGATTCCATTGTTCACACATGCGACGAACAGAAGATGAGTAAAGACTCTTACGATGGTCATCGACAAGACTGTCAGTAAGTTGGATCCACCTGGAAAGTGTTCTAACATACTCTTGTTGAGATTTTATGACTTCACAGAACCAGTTGTACCAGCAAGAAACCTCGGTTTCCAGTTGAATTGCAGCTTGGCGGTGGTAGTTGGTACTCAAGTCCATCTTTATATCAGTAAGAATATTCAACTGCTGGGAAACAAAATGTTGAACTTGGTGACATTCATACATCGTTCTCCACATGTGCAAAAGCCTGCAAGAGAGTCATGCAAAAGCCTGAGGATACAAATACAGGAGGACATGTTTCGCCGCATTCCATTAAAAGCTCTAGAAGGCCGGTTGAGAATTCCATGTTTAAGGTAAGGCAAGGCAGCCTTATTATGAAGACAAATCCAGTGAGACTAAATCAAGGTTTTCTTAGAGTAAAGGGGTGCTTGTGGATAAAAAAACTTATGGTTCCAGGTATTCGCTACTTGGTACCAACTAGAAAGATTACTAAACACCCCATTATACACAAAAATGTCAGATTGAAAAATCGTAGAGAAAGGTACTAATGATATTGAGTCTTAGATATAGAGCCATAAAATATCACCAGTCTCTGGTAACTACATTGAAGGAGATGGATGAGAAAGGGCAAAAATGGTATCCATCATCTCGAAGAACAAGTTTCAGTGAGTCACCAAAAGAAAAAATTTACATTCTACTATCCTATATACTTTAAAAATAAGAGAATAGCGTCCAAATTATTTTTTCTATAACAAAAAAAAAATTATGGCTATTATACTACATGATTAATGTCAACAATACCCGGAAGTTAGTGTGACCAACTGAGGATACAGCTCATCATCTATGAGCTTCACTAAAGAAGAACAAGTGGTGCTGATTGAATGCTGAAGACGTAAGATGTCAGACTCCAAACTCTCAACGCTTAACCGAGTTTTCTCAGTCTTGGTCCAGTCATGGTTTTCATCCTCTTGTTTTTGCAGTAACTTGGATTTCCTATCATGCTCTAATTTGGTAAACTCTTCCTCCTGCATAATAGAATGATTAAATTCATCAGAAACTCCGAGCAAAATAAATAAATAAATTCACCAGAAACAAGGCTAGCTGGGAAAAGGAGAAAGAGGACAGGGGAAACACAGAGAGAGAGAGAGAGAGAGAGAGAGAGAGAGAGGATTAAAGGAAAATGTTACAAAGATAACCAAGAGTTGGAAAATGATGAGTCATCACCACCAGAAAATAGTTTTCTCAAAGATACCAGGCCAAAAAAACCACTACTTGTAGTCCTTCAAGTCTGAACTGGTATAGTGTAGAAAGTTTAGGACATGGCTGATGCAATATTTATTTTTTTGATTGGAAATGAAAAATTAACTATATACTTATAATCAGAAAAACAGTCAATGTGTCATTACCTACATGGGATGGCACATCTTACACACTACAGTTCAATTCAACGCGCACACACAAGATAGATTGCAGTCATCTATCATGATGTCATTTCAACTAACCAAAATACACATTATGAACGTTTACATATGCTGATTTTACTGAATACAATACGTTCAATTACTATTTTTACCTTAACTTCTTTGTAAAGTTTCTTTTCCTCATCATATAATTTTTGAAGTGTAATGCAATGAGCTCCTGGCCTGCATGGTTCACTTGGACCACTAGACTCAACTGCATCTCTTGGAAACTGAAGTGACCTAGAAGACCAACTCCATGACAATGCACTAAAGACCTTTGTGGAATTGCCCCTCTTCCCTGTAAATCATACAGCAAAACAATTATGCGGAGGAACTTAATAAGCAAAACATCCAGTAAATACAAGCACACAGACAGGGAGAATGCATCAACACAGATAAGCTGCACAAACAAAGTCTTGTAGAGAACTAATACATCTGAAGGATATTAGGAGCCGATCCATCAGACAGGAAATAGTGCATAGCTTTTAAAAATATACCCTTTAGTATAATTCTTCTTGATAGGGAGAATTTTGATTTGAATGCGATTTTGTATTTTTTTAGTTCCAACTTGTACTTTCTCCAACTTTGTTATAAATTTTGTGTTTCTATCAAAAGAAAAATTATCAAGAAATAAAAATTTAAAGGAGACAACATCTAAGAGAATCCAAATGCATAAATAGAGCTAGTATTTACTTTTGCTTTCACTCGTACTCTGAGGCAGAAAAGTATTCCCTCTTTTGATGTCCATAAGAACAGCAATTTCCTTTAAACCATCTGATGATTTGAGAAAATATTCATCTATCACCTTAGCTATACCCTCCAAGGTCTTCTTGCTTCTCCATAGTACCATGGCCATGTCTGCAGTGTCCTTAGTATACAACTTCATCGTTGATGAATTATCCCCAACGGAATCTGCGAGCTGCGGTTTCTTAGGCGGAGAATTTACAACATTTGAAGCAGTTTCCTCTTCATGTTCGTCTTCCTCAAAATCCGTCTTAGTCTCTGCCCAGTTTTCCTCTTCAAGTGGTTCCACTGTTTCATTATGTTTCAGATGCTGTGGTGAAGAAGGGTCAAAAAGGTACCAAGATTCCCATGACGAGCTCGGGCCTGGAGGAGGTGGAGTACTGATATCATCCTCTGTAATCTCTATGCTTTCCTCTAGACCAACTTCTTCTCTGTTATCCAATTTTCTCAAATCAGGGCTGTAAGGAGGTGGTGGTGGAGGGGAAGGAGGCAAAGGGGGAGGAGGGGAAGCTGGCAATGCCAAGCCATATGGAGTAGTATCAAGCTCTAATGTCTCGGACTCTGTAAATTGTCTAAGTGTTGCTCCAGTATTCCTCAATGCTCTTAAATAATCCAACTGGGCATCTGCAAAGGATCCTCTAAACCGAACCAACTGTTTCATTAGCTTCTTTCTCTCCTTGCAAACTCGCACCCTCTCTTCCTTATCAATCCTCGATGCAACACAACCCATTTTCCCAAATTTCCAACAACTTCTTCTGCCTAGTGACTGACAGATAGTAAGAACCAGAGACAATGGACCCAAATGCAGGCTCAGTTTTGAGTACTGTTATACTAGAAAAACGAGTAAACTCATAATGCACACCCACTTTTCAGTTATCATTCAAGCCTAGAGAGTTAGAGTTCATCATATTAAGAAATCCAATGACAGCTTCCATTCCTAGTCACGGAAGAAAACCCCAACTTTTTCCAAATCTTTTATAAATCATAAGCCCTCATAAGCTGTTGAAGTAAAAAGAAAAAAAAACTTAAACAGGTACCTTTTCTCAGTGAACTTTCACGCACAGATAAAATTCTCCTCGTCACCGTGAATTCAAAGTTTTTACACTACATGCCCAAAGATCAAACCCACCACCTCACCTCCAAATCCTGAATCTGCTATCCTCACTCATTATGCATCCCCACTTCTAATGCTTCAAAGGCCCTAAAGAAGACAAAAATAGCAGTAACTAAAGTAACCCACTTAAAAAATCTCCATATCCTACAGACAAATGGAGCTGGAGTGAATAGAAAAATAAAAAGATAAGGGTTTTACAGCAGAGTTCCAGAGATGTTTTTTTCCCTGGAAAGCAGTTCAGAGATTATTTAAAAAATGCTAACTTTCATAAATAAAAAATTAAACAATTAAAAATGAAAAGCAAAGACAAGATAACAAGGGGGTCTGACATGGAAACTTTCAGAGACAGAGACACACAGAGATGTGAGAGAGAGAGAGAGAGAGCAGTGCTTTGCTTGCCCAAGCGAAAACGACCAAGCTAAACGACAAGCAGTGCTATTACTAGTACCAGGGATTTGGGTTTTCAAAACGTCAACACAGAAAGTAGAATCTTCTCCAAGCAAAAAGCTTCATGAGAGAGAACCCCCACACAAATGTGTTGCCTTTTCCATGCTTTTCAAATGGAGACCATCAAAAAACATAGAGAGAGAAACAAAGAAAAAGCAAAGAGCCAAGCGAAGCATCCAAGGCCAAGAAGGCGCATTTTAGTACAACCGCATTATAATAATGCTTGCTTACCCAAGAAGCAATTCATGCATGACAGCCATGCCTCTCAGCTCTCCTCTCTTTTGGCCACTCCGCTGCTTTCACTGTTGCAGAGATGTGCAAAGGGACTGAGAGAGTACAGTGGTTACCCTAGGTGCATCTTAGCATGGAGGGGCCCACATGGTTGGCGTGCAGTGTTAGGGTGCGCATTTCAGCAAGCAGAGCAGGAGAGAAACTCAGAGATAAATGCGAGGTGGCTTGGTTGGTCACTGCAAAGTTCAAAAGGCAACTACAATTTTTCCAGTTTTATGCAGAGTGGCAATCACTGTTTTCTTTTTTGCTTTCCTATTTAAAAAGCGCTTTTCTGACCAATAATTTGGCCTCCGGGTCACAGTTCTGCTGTTGGCTTGTTGGCTTTTGCCAACTTTCTTCTTCTCCTAATTTTATAAGTTGCATTAACCTATTAATGTAACTAGAGAAAAAGTGCACTAACTTTTTTTTTCTTAGGTATTAAGAAACATTATCTAACTATGTTACTATGTTTTATGTGATGAATGAAAATAATACAATTAATATAATTGTTTCTTAATGATGTTATGAGATTGAAAAGAAATTCGTCGGTAGTCAGACAACATCAATTGTCTGTCCATTCTCACAACTAAGCTTAGCGAGGTCTTTTTATATTGGGCGACTAGAACGCCAATACAAAAATAGCCCCGCTTGGTTGTGAGGATGGGTAGACGGCTGAAGTGGCCTGGCGGCCGGACCAAAAAATTTCTCCACATAAGAGGGTCCTACATAGATTTCAATATCTCATTTCGTAGGGTAAGAGAGATGAGGAAATTAGGGGAAAATATAAAGGTTTGAGTTTTGTACATACTTTAGAAAAGCTTTCAAGTTGTGAATTGCTTTGTCTTTTCCTAAATGAACTAGATTTTTGATTCACACAAGCAGAAAAGTAACTCATTCTTTCAATACTTAGGAGCAAATAATCCTTGGGAGACAAATGGTTGGTGCAAGGAAACGTCCTGGATCATACACAATGTTACTTTTCTTAAAGAAGATTTCTTTATTGGAGAAAGCCCCCTCTTTATTCCATTTACTCCTATACCACCAACAACAGGAACTGATTTGGTTCAATACAACATCCATACAATCTGAATCTAACAAGAATGTTGCTGTAAATCAGAACTCATTGCCTATTTCATTCACCAATTCACCAATTCACCATGTCCTTGCTTCCATTTTTATGATTGTTGCTTGCTTATGTTAATTAAGTGTTGGCCTATAAGTGAGGAAAAAAGTTAAATGAACATAAAAAAAATTAAAAAGGCCACCTTCACCCGTTTTGTTTATAGATATATGATGAAAAAAAGGCCACCACTAATGTTTTCTTTCTAAACGAACAGCATGACTTGAGAAAGTTTTTCTTTGGGCCTGAAACCCTTTTATGTACATATTTATATTTAGCCCATATACACCGCCACATGTTGGACCAGTTATGCAGTTTAGAGTCATTATGTAGCGAGGTTCTTATATGTGGTCCTTAAGCGAGATTCTATTTCTTAATTGTTGGATCAGACAAACTAATTTGATTTAACAGCTAAACAATTTGATCCAACAGTTAAAAAATATGACCTCACCTAAGGGCTATATATAAAGTCCTCACTATAGAATTCTTGATGCGGTTTATACAAAGAAGAAAGCCTGCTAATTTAGATCCATATATACCTTATATAAGTTAATTACTAAACTTAAACTAGTACCAAGCTGCATGACTAATTTCTGAATAGTTAATCTTGCTATTGTACCAATTTGAGTTTGAACTCGTGGTAGGAAGTCTCGCTCCACTCACATGAATATAAGAACGATATATATATACATATGATGAATTTGATATATTGTTATAGTTTACCCATTTTAGTGTGTGTATATTTTGCTGTAAATGTGTTATCTGATCCGTTTGTAAAACTATCTTCTGTGGTATCCTTTGCTTATTAGCTTTTGAACTTACACAACTAGGTTGTGCATGCGTGCTGACGGCTGAGTTTATATTCTTAGTTAATTGGTTTTTAATATTAATTTTTTCTATGGTGTCATTATGTTCTTTTAATATTATTAAATCACACATGCATAAATAAAGGTCATCTGAACGTCTCTCCCACGCTGTGCAAAACTTGCAATATAGAAAGATCAAAGCTTTTCATATTGCTTTGAATTTTGAACCAAGCCCACAGGTACGTTTATGTGCAATCCCTAATTTTTCAATATTTTTTATTTGGAAACAATTAAAAAAAACACAGGAAAAAAGGAATACACGCTTGTCTTCCTTTCTCTCAGTATTGAAGAGAGGTAGGCATAAGCTGAAAAGCTTGGTTATGCCTACGACGAGACAGAGAAATAGTGAGAGAGAAGGGGACGAGGAGGAGAAGATTATTGGGAGGAAGGAAGACAAGCCAAGCCTTGAACGTGTATTCCTTTTCTTCTTTTTTATTTTTGTGCAAATTCATAGTTATTTGAGTAAAACAAGAGCATGAATTAGGGTTAAGAAAACTACGAACTATATTAGCCGTTAGATTAATCCAATGGTTTTATTTAAAATGTCATTACATGTCCTTATGTGAGCGGGATTGCTCTCACCAATATAAATACCCCCACAGTATTTAAAATGTCATTAAATGTCCTTATGTAATTTTTTCATTCCAACATAGTTTTTGAATTATAGTGCGCTAATTTATTTGCTTATATTATTTACAAAAGTTATTTTTGAGAGTTATTTGCTTCAGATCGTGATGGGGCTTAAATCTCAAGCTTTGGATTCATGTTCAATGGTGGAGGATACTAAGCCTTTATTGTCTCGTGTCACTATAGCATTTATTAGAGCTGGCAAACGGGTCGTTTTAGCGGGTTCCGGGTCGTTAACGGGTCAACCCGTTTTCTTAACGGGTTGACAATTGCCAGGTCTAGCATTTATTACCCACGTTCGACGCACAGCTAACGGAGTCCGCCACACAACTAACGGAGTCCGACGCACAATTAACGGACTTGGCAGATTTGCATTGCGTATTGGGCAGTGCTGTTGCGTGGAAGTTCCTGGATGTATTTGTGATGTACTACTAATGGAGGAGTTTGACTATTATGATTAGTAGGTTTTTACGACTTATGATTCTAAGGGGACGGGGCGCTCTATTTGGACAAGATTCTTTCTCTCGCTTGTAGTTGAGATGGTAGGCTACTTGATTAGACTGACGACTCAACCCTAATGTAGAGAGATGTTCACCTAATCTTGTAAGTTTGAGTCGGTTATTTTTTTCGTATTTCTAAGTCCTCTTTCAAATAAATTATTATTGCATTTTCCTTATAATAAAGTTCCATATACCGTAGTTTTCTAATTATTATTGCATTATTCATTTATCCCCAAAAACGACCTTTTATATACTCGATATTCCAAAAAATGCCCTTCAATCCTCATAAAGGCTGGTAAGTCGTAACCGACCTTATAGAGCATATATCTCCGTCAATACAGGATTGGTCCCAATTAATTCGTGCATGGGACAATAAATTGACTAAATTGACTATCTTTCAAATCAACCCAATCAATTCCTAGTTTTCATTTTATTCTCCCCAAAGAGTCAATCTTACTTACTAATTTAATTATTAATTTCTTATGGGCATAAGTAACGCACCCACATGGCCTTGCTGGACAAAAACAGATAGATAGTTGCTTCTAAAACTAAATAAAGAATTAATCTTTAAGTAATCACACAAGATTATCCCTCAGCTAGTCAAATTAAAACCCTACTTATTTTATAAGATTCTCCTAAACCAAGTTCTAGAAAGGCAATGAGTGTGTCTCAAGCCAGAGGACCCCACATGTCTTTGTGAGAAGGGTGGTCTCTGAGTCTCTGAGAGCTGCTGCCATTAATAATAGCCATGTTGGGGGTTTCAATTTGAGGCGTCTGGCTGTCTTTTTGGCAAATGGGTCTTGCATATATCATGGTTTTGTAGACAGTATTTTACGTCACGTACTCATTGGGGGGGCTTTTACTTTAATGGGTGTCAGTGGTTTTGGTCCCTTGTGTCTCATATGGGATTCAAATTTGGAAATTTCTTGATGGTTTTTAGGGCAGAGAAAACAATAGCACATAATTTTGTGGTTTTCTGGGGCAGCAAATTGGAGGGGTTGACCTAAATTTTCTGTCTGAATTGGAAATTTTGTGTTTTTATTGCTGGTGGGGTTTTGGGTTCAGATTTGGGTCTTTTTTTTTGGAGGTGGGTGTGCTGTAGTGGAGTGGTTTTAGGAGTATTTCTAAGGGTTCTCAACTGGGTTTGTGAAAGGAATTCACTTTCTTCTGTTACATCTACTGGGTAGATTTGGGTCAGTTTTGGTAGAAAATTCAGTGGGTTTGTGCAAATTTTGGGTTTCACAGGCTGTAAAGGAAGCCACATTGTGGTGCTGTTTCAACGTTCTAAGAGACTTGGTTTGAGAATTCTGGGTTTGGTTCTTTCTGGCTGATTTTGGCTTCACAGTGGTGCTTAAGGGAAACAGCTTATTGGGTTTCTGCTTCTGCTTATGAAACTGCCCTGATTTGGGCAGTTACTTGTACTTTGCTTTGAGGGATTTGATAGTGTCTGAATTGAGTTTTCAGTGGGATTCTGGGTTTGTTTAGCTTTAGCTCTCTTGGAAAATTGTTCTTCAAGTTCTATACTGCTTTCACTGGGAGGAAATGGCTTGCATGAAATTGGGATCTAAAACTGATGCCTTCCATAGACAAGGACAGGCCTGGTATGCTCTCTGACATCTGTAATTTCATATTCTTTATGATTTCTATATATGCTGTGGATTCTATTAATGTATTTATCATAATTATAATTGTTAAATTATTCATTTATTTGCGTCCTTTAAATTCAGTCTGCAAACTTGGTTTTGTATGGCAAGTAAAAAAATTTATGTAGCCTTTTAGTTGGGAGTTATTTTAGGGAATTTTTTTCCAGTCTGGTACATGATACTGAAGAGCTGTTACCTTCAAATTAGTTTTTTTTTTCACCCCATTGGTCTGTTGCAATAGGATAGCTTGAACTTAGGCGGTGGATACAAACATTTCTACTGCTTCTTAAAAATTAATGAACGTTTTTCTTCTTGCTTAGCACACTTTGTCCCTCAACAAAATCTTTGTGACGCATGAACAAATAACATTTCTGGGGTGGTTGTTTGGTTATACTTTTAGTTATATATTACTTCATTCTGAAGACCGAAAACGGGACTCCCCCTTCACCATCCATGTTCTGGATATGCTCTTTGGGTTATTAAGATCTTCTAGTTTTCTGTTCATGCACAGTACATGGCTGATTGTACATTCTGTGTAGATTGCCTTGGGTAAAAGGATTTTGCATGTTTTGGAACCTCATAATTATGATTTGCTGGGTTTATTTAATTTGATTATTGATGCACTGTATCACTTCCTTTATTCTTTCTTATTTGTAGACTAACATTATATATACATCTTGGAACGATTGTAGGTTCTGCACCACTGGGCTTCCTAGTGACATTGTTGTTGAAGTTGGAGAGATGTCATTCCATCTTCATAAGGTAAGCTTTCATGTTCCAAAGTTTTGTGTACGTTTGAGTGAATCATAATCTGGTATCAACCCCATTATTTATGTTTTAAAATTTAAAGGCTATTCTCACATTTCAATTGCCGTTTGATGCAGTTTCCTTTGCTCTCAAGAAGTGGGATTATGGAAAGATTGATTTCCGAAGCATCTGAAGGAGAAGAAGAATGTGTCATAAACATCCCTGATATTCCTGGTGGGGCAAAAACATTCGAGTTAGTAGCCAAGTTCTGCTACGGGGTGAAATTTGAGCTTACTGCCTCAAATGTTGTATACCTTCGATGTGCTGCTGAGCATCTTGAAATGACTGAGGAATATGGGGAGGACAACTTAATCACACAAACTGAAGCCTTTCTCAATCAAGTTGTCCTTCGAAATTGGAAAGACTCTTTAAAAGCACTTCAGACTTGCGATGACATTCTCCCTCATGCTGAAGAACTCAACATTACAAAGAGGTGTATCGAGTCACTAGCCACAAAAGCATCTACGGATCCTAATCTGTTTGGGTGGCCTGTCAAGGAGCATGGAGGCCCCATGCAAAGTCCTGGTGGGAGTGTCCTGTGGAATGGGATAAGTACAGGGGCTAGACCAAAGAAATCAAGTTCAGACTGGTGGTACGAGGATGTTTCAACCTTGAGCTTGCCTCTCTATCAGAGGCTAATTTCGGTTATGGAATCTCGTGGCATTAAACAAGAGATTATTGCAGGCTCAATCACTTTTTATGCCAAAAAGTACCTTCCTGGGCTGAACCGGCGTCAAGGCACTAGTGACTCTAGTACCCGACTTGCACCAGTGTCCTTGGGGTCCCCACCATCAGAAGAAGACCAGAAGCTCTTACTTGAAGAGGTGGATCGGTTACTTCCATTTCAGAAGCGTGTAGTCCCAACCAAATTATTGTTTGGTCTACTTCGAACAGCCATGATTCTTCGAGCCAACCCTTCTTGCATATCTAATTTTGAGAAAAGGATCGGCATGCAACTTGATCAAGCTACTTTGGAAGATCTTTTGATGCCCAACTTCTCTTATTCCATGGAGACTCTATACAACGTTGACTGCGTGCAACGAATTCTAGATCACTTCCTTGCCATGGATCAAATTACAGGCGGGGGGGTGTCTCCATCTTCAATGGATGATGGCCAACTGATTGGGTCACCAGCAGGCCCTTCACTGACCCCAATAACAATGGTAGCCAAGCTCATTGATGGATACCTTGCAGAGGTTGCCCCTGATGTTAACTTGAAGCTCCCTAAGTTTCAAGCTCTTGCTGCTGCTGTTCCTGAATATGCTAGACCCTTGGATGATGGTCTTTATCGTGCTATAGATATTTATTTGAAGGTAATAAGCATGAATTATTCATGAATTTTTTTTTTCATTACAAGATCATTGATTTGGCAGTTGATCCATCATACCATATAAAAGCCACATATTGTCCTAGAAATTTTATTTCTCTCAATCCCAATGTTTCTACTTCCAACTGGGTTGGGTCATATTACAATTTGAACACAGCCTGGCAAAGTGCATGAATTTATCAATTGGTCTTTGGCTTGGTATCCTGATTTTAGGTGACTTTGAGTGATCCACCCCCCACCCTCCCAAACCTGATACAAGGTTGTGATAGTTAGCCAAATGAAGGTTAATGAATTTTATATTGCTCACGCCTGTAACTTTTTGGGCTCATTGTTTTCTATTGTCTATAACCTGCAGTCACACCCATGGTTGGCAGAGTCCGACAGGGAACAGCTCTGCCGGTTGATGGACTGCCAGAAGCTTTCCTTGGAAGCTTGCACTCATGCTGCACAGAATGAGAGGCTACCCCTGAGAATAGTTGTTCAAGTACTCTTCTTCGAGCAGCTTCAGCTTAGGACTTCAATTGCTGGTTGCTTTCTGGTTTCAGAAAATCTCGATGGATCAAGACAATTAAGAAGTGGGTTTACCGGGTCTAATGAGGGGGGCTGGGCCACGACTGTGAGGGAGAATCAGGTTTTGAAGGTTGGGATGGATAATATGAGGATGCGGGTATCTGAGCTCGAGAAGGAGTGTTCAAATATGAGACAAGAGATTGAGAAGTTAGGTCGTGTAAAAGGTTCTAGCACATGGGGAAATGTATCGAAGAAATTCGGGTTCAAGATAAAGTCCCAGATGTGCAGCGCTCAAGAGGGATCCGTTACCAATCAGCATAATGGGAATGAGAAAGTTGAGAAGTTAAAGGAGAGGCATGGAAAGCATAAGAAAGACTCTGTTAAAGATGAATAAAGCCTTTTGGTTTCTCCTTCTCTCTCACCTCTAGCTTTGAAGTTCTTTCTGTGGTTAGCTCAATTTCTTTGATTTCAGTTCAGAAACTAAGTCCCGCTTCTGCTTCTTTGTGCTAATATCTGTTTACTCTTGCTGTATTGTTATCGTCTTAATCATGGTTAGCAGAGATGGAAAATGAAGTTACCTTGTAATTTGTTTATTGTAACAGTAGCAAAGGTCTCTGTTTCTCTTTGTGCAGTCTTCTCTCTTGTCTCCAACAAATTTTTTAAGCCCCTCAATTATGATATAAACCTTGGCCTCTGTTTGTGCTTTAATGTTCTTGGAGTGTTTACTTCTTCTTTGTCATATTCTTCATGAAAATTTCAAACTCCTTTCTTGCAACAATCCTTGTGCTCTTTAGTTTATATGTTCAAAAATATTTTTTGTTTTTTCCTTTCAGATCTTAGCTATTCAAATATGAAATTGGTTACACTGTCCTCATACCAAGATTCAAGAACAAATATAAATTACATTTTGACTTTTATTTTTATTTTTCATATATAATTTTGACTTTTCACTTGTATATATAAAGTGTCAAAACTACCCTCATCACTTTACACAATTCTGAAAAAACAAATTTTAAAAGCAGGCGTGGGTTTGACCAGTTGGCTAAGTACTGAACTCGTCTTTTTGCACTTAAGTTCAAATTCCCTTTTGAATTCCCATCCCAACTAGCCAAGATTCGAATTCCCCTCCCTCTAGATTAGATTAATTTATAGTAATTTTACTATTGCTTGTATTAAAAGAAAAAGAAGTTTTCAAAAAAATTTATGATATTAATCAACATAAAACTAAAATGCCTTAAAAGAAAAAAAAGAGAGAAAGAAACAGAAAACAAATAAGGTTAAAATCCAACAAGAGCATTTGCAGAAGCCATCGTTTAAAAGGCGCGTGTTGTGCTGTCAAAAATTTGACGTCGTCCTTGCTCGCTTCCGTTCTCCTCCTTTTCTCATTTGGGCTCAACTCAATACGAAAACCCGATTTGGTCTCCAGGTTTCTTCAATTCAAAGCCGCCTCTCTTCCTTTGCGTTTTTCTTGAATAATACTTTTCTTAATTTCTAGAAAGATATATAATTCAAGCCTTTTCTTTCCTGCCCAGATCTTTGAGGCACACGGATCCAATCCAATTCGATAAGAATTGGATAGTTTTCCTATCAGATCGATCCAAACCCAAACAGGAGGAAAAGGAGAGAAATGGACAATGCCGACGTTGAAGCTGGTGGAGAAGACGAGTTCCATGGCAAGAGCGGTCGCAAGTATCGCCCTGTTGTCGACGACGATCGCGCCGTGCTCGAGATGTCATCCATGGATCCTTCCTCTTCTTCTTCTTCTTCGTCTGCTCTTCCTGTTCACCAAGCTTCCCTCAAGTATGCTTTCCACTATCACCATTCCCCCTCTCTCTCTCTATATATATATGTGTGTGTGTGTGTGAGAAATAGAGGATTTTGAATGGTGTTTAAGAATGAATTAAGCGTTCTGTGAATTCTTGTGGAAAATGAGTTAAACCCACAAGTGCAATACATAAAAAAAAAAATGGTGTTAAGTGAATTCAGCTATTTAAGTAATGAGAAATCTTAGATTCTTGGATTCTGAAAACAATTTTAACTATGGCTCTGCCCAAGTGACGTGTATGTACTCATCATGTAAGTTAGTTCCAAGTGGCATGCAATACTAATCATCATCTTCTTGAGTCATTTCTCAGAATTGAAACTTTCGAATGAACTTGAATGATTGCGAATTCTCAGATTTGTTGTCCTGTAGCAGTATTGGGTCGGTTCGATAAAAGATCTTAGTTGGGTCATGCTTTAGGGAATTTTTGATGTAATTCCATCATATATTTATAGAAAAATGCTACTGCATACTGATCAAGGTTTTGGGTCATTAAGTTGATTCAAAAGGTTGGTGTACCCGTTAAGTGCAAGTTTTTGCTTGGTTGGTGGCTCGTGAAAAGTCAATACTTGCTTCAAAAAGGAAGTTTATTTATATGAGTCTATGTCTGTTTATATCTCTACAGTGGTGCTTTCGTGCAAAGCGGTATAGGAGAGTGCTCATCCTATTCTTTGTATTGTCCATTTAGAACGCAAATTTTGGTTAGGCTGTTGTAACTGTTAAGGGTGGCTTACTTTGCTCTAGGAATTGATGTTCCTTGCTGGTGGAAGTTACTTGGGTACTGGGGCCAAAGAAAGCTGATTATCATTTGGCATTGTGGGGTGTTGGTTTCTATGTAGATTGTTTGGTTGGAAATAAATAAGAGGTCATTTGATCTTCAGGTGGAGGACCATGGGAGAATAAATTAGATTTTAGATTTCCCTTTGGTCATCTTTCTCAAAGCATTTCATGGCTATTCCTTTCTTCTAAATTGGGAGGAGTTTTGAGTTGAATGCAATCTTATTTTGGTATGAGCTGACTGAAGTGTTTATTTTGATGGACATCTTGTCCATCCTTTTTAGTAGCATTCTTTCTTTCTCTTTTAATGAAAATCATGTTTCCTACAAAAAAAGAAATGTTAAAGGGGTGCACATGCATTTTTCATTTATACATCTCATCCTATTGGTTCATAGGAATATATTCTCTATCTCTATACACTTGATGCTGTTCAAAATACAAGAAAACATTGGAAATAATACTTGGGTTGGCTGATCAATAATCCATGAAGTGTTTTTCCTTCTTCATGGGTATCATAATAATGCCTTGAAATTAAAAATCCGAGTTTTCCTTATCAAATTTTTTTTGTTAGCTATAAAAAAAACTTGTAAATTGATATTCATTTTCAGGTAATTTTGGTTTATTTTATATCTATCTGTTGTAAATTGATGTTCATTGCATGTAAAAAGAAAAAAGCTAACATATATAAGTTTATTTATTCTTGCTTATAATTTTTGTTATGTCTATTGGCGTACCATGGCAGGACAATAAAAGTGGGCACCCAGGAAAACATGGGTTCTGATGCAAAAGAAGGGCACCCTCCTACTCATGTGCAAGCCAATGGCCCCCAGAGAGAATCCAAATTGGAACTGTTTGGTTTTGATTCTCTCGTCAACATTCTTGGTCTTAAGAGGTATGTTCTGTTGTGAGATCGTTTAAGAATGGGAAAAACAAACGAACTCAAGAAACCAAAATAATATTAATGTCGTTCGGCAAACGAGTGCATCAACTCTCCTTAATATATAATCTGTGTTGCCTATCTAATCTCTTTCTGATTAAGGGTGTAAAGATGAGAGAATTTTTGGCATTTTTTCTCCCAGTATGTTTGATTTTGGAGAATTTTCTTAATACGAAAGTCATTCACTAATGTTTGGTATCAATCTTTTTTTTTCCTGACTGGCTGGTATTGATTTGTTTTTTGCTGCTCCAGTATGACAGATGAGCAAAGTGCAGCACCATCTAGTCCTAGAGATGGTGAAGATATTTCTATCACCCAGGGGCGACCGAAGGTAAGTTGACAATCCTGCTGTCTCTTGCATAAGTTCCTCCCTTGTCTTGTTGCTTGTTTGAGCATTAATTTGAAAATAAGGTGTGGATTAAGAAACCTTAAGGGTGCTGGCTTATATGCATGGCTACCTGTTGTCATATGGTGATCCCCCTTAACTTTGTGTTATCATTGCATATTAATTGGTCCAATAAAAGTCTCGTTTCACATTAAAAAAAACATTATTTTATAGCTTTAAAGTGGGTAGTTTCATAAATTATATTTCAAATTGTTCCGATTTCTTGAAATTTAAAACTGCACTTTCTTCAATTTCTGATCCTTCTCTGTATCTATTGATGGGTATTTACCATGCAGCCTACTGGTGTCAAATTGGGAACACTGATGGGTGTATTCGTCCCATGCTTGCAAAATATACTGGGAATTATCTACTATATTCGATTTTCTTGGTAATTCATATGCAACTTTTGTATTATATTTCAATTTGTTTGCAGGATGCATGAACAATTATATATTTGAGGTAGAATTGGTTGTTAGATGCAGATCTTGTGTATGAAGGGTGCAATGCAGCTGAAATTTCTTTTGAATTGCTAGAAAATTTTCTAAATATATCATGTATAGATGTGCTATCAAAATTATATTTTGGTGCACTTCTGTTTTGCTTTGGAAACACCCTAGTGCTATTCTGGTGGAATTGTCTTAGTTTCCGGAAAAAGGAATAACTTTCTGTTTTCATTTCAAAGCTTGTTAAAAGTTTGATATGAAGTGGCCATGGAAAAGTGATGGACCGATGTAGATCCGATTGAGCTTGAATGAAGTTGTTATTAACTGTTTAGTGATAGAGAACCTCCATAATGTACATGTATGTGAATTGGGAGTTGGGATGGTCTCAGTTGTCATATATGATAGTGACGCACATCAGATATCAAGGCACAACTGCCCTTGTGATTTACAAGCCGTATTGGCACCCACTACAGCACCAGAACTTTTCAGAAGTGGGGTTTTCTTGCTTTCCTGAGGTGTTTGGCTGCATGTAAAAATACTTTTCTGTCCTGCAAAAGCTGTAAAAACACTTTTCTGTCCTGCATGTTTGTCCCTCTTTCTAGAAAAGATACAAAAAATTAAGTAAGAATGATCAGATTTGTTTGGCATGCAATTTCTCAGTTCTATTACGCCTACTAAAGAGTTTTAGAAATGATTAAATTCATGATGTTGCCTTCCTTCTAGACCAATCATGTTCTTACAGATATCTTTCCTTTTCGTCTTTTTAAATTTTTTTTATAAGAGTTGCTGATATCCTTTCTTAATATATAAAAATGGCAGGATTGTTGGTATGGCTGGTATAGCTGAGTCACTATTCTTGGTTTCATTCTGTGGCTTGTGTACTTTCCTCACTGCAATATCATTGAGTGCAATTGCAACCAATGGTGCTATGAAGGTACACATTATTTATATGATAAGACTCGTGAGAAATTAGATAGAGAAGATTATAAGAATACCCCCAGCTTGTCATAAAATAACAAAGCAATCATTTTAGCTGACTCAACTGGATTATGATGTAGTGGGATATACCATTTTAGATTGCTAAAATTTGGATTTAATTACAACATTTATTCCTACTTCCAAAGAATCGTTTCTTGGTATATTATTCTACAGATTATAGTGCAACTGCTCAAGATGTTAATGAACTGTGTTATATTCACATTATCTGGTAATGCATATTGAGTTATGGTTATTACTTTTGAGTACTCTGATACTGTGTTTTAGTAATTGCTTTATTTTTCATCAGATAGATTTGTGAAAGAAGAGATAATGAATTCTTCTTTGTTTCACT